TTAGTGGCCTCTCACATCTTAAATAATTTTATGATCATGCACAGCTTCTTCCTGGTGTGTTCACAGGGTTCAGCCTGGGGTGTTCTCTTTTTCATTGCCAAACTTGCTTATGATTCATGTGTGTTGTGAGAGTGTTTTGAGGCCAAATGGGACAGGAGCCAAAGCAAATCCATATCAGAGTGCTGCATAAAAATGTAGAGGATTGTACCTGGATGATCTTTAAGGTCCCTTCCAACCCAAACCATACTGCAGTTCTACGGAAAGCTTCTCTGGCTTGTCAGAAAAAGGAAAGAGAGATGTCTCTTACCTAGACCCAGGAAGCTGCAGACCCATTGAGCCACTGCTGCTGTCTGAAGCCTTCTCTGAAGCGGCACAGATCGCGGAGCAAACTCAATTTTCATCTTGGCCTCTGCATGCACGTCTCACAAGGAGAAGGAAGCAAGTGGTGAATGCAAAGTGCAAAGTCAATATCTACCCAGTGTTACAGTAGAAGGGATTGTGCAACATCCTCACAGTGGTGGCTGCACTCAGCACCATTCCATACAGGGAGCAGAGGGAGGTGTCATGGACTTTAAACCATCATGACTCACAACATTGTTAGATGGTGACAATTTTATGCTTCTTCCACCCAAATCTGGAAAGTAAACTTCATTCAGGACCCAATCCTGCTTTCAAAAGATCCTGTCTCTTTAAAATTTTTCAATATTTGGATATTGGCAGAGACAATGAGGCCTATAAGCCAGTTTTATTTTCCTCCTTCCCCTATAAATCACCCTGTGCACAGCAGGAAGGGACAATCAGAAGGGATGAGCACAGGCAGGTCACTTTTGTTCACAGGTGATGTGATGTGGATAAGTTTCAGTCTCAGCCAAGGATGGGGGGAGATAACACAACGGTGTTTCACTGCTGAGCACAGGGAACATGAGCCTCATGCCTCTGCCAAGGCATGGGTGGATGGTGGATGGATGGGGCACGTGAGTTTCCATGTGCATCCTTGCACACATTTGTATACAGAAAGGAAATACTCCTCCTGATTTGCATCTGTATCTCCAAGCAGGTGCACAGTCTGAGCCTCTGCCTTGTCAAGTGCAAAGAGATGCAATTGACTACATGGGAAAAAAAATTTAGAAATCTGGGGGAAAAAATCCTCAAGGAACTGACAAGCCCCTCAGGTAAGCAACAAAATCGTCTCATCAGAGGGCTGGAAAAACCAAAGGTCTCACTGTAACTAGGATAGAGAATAATACTGTGAACTAAACAATGAGCACTGTGAAAGCACTGGCCAACTACAAAGGCTTCACTCACATGTCTAAGGGGCATTTCAAATCCCAAGGTCACTGCAGCCAAAAATTACAGAATAAAACTAATAACAAACTTTGGCAGAAGCAAATCAGAGATGTTAGCTGAAAAATAATCCCCCCCTTTGTCAGGCCTAGGAAGATGCTGGACTATGAGGCATCTGTTAGACTCAGTTTCCCCAAATCACTAGGATAACAGGGCTCTGGTGAAACCCCTAGGGATCTCTTCCTAAAAGCACTGGTTGCTTTAATTGAGCTAAAACTGGTTTAGATTTCACTCAAATCTCTCCCCATCTTTTTGACTGCAAATGTCAGGAGGCTGACTGCTTCAAGAAAGCAAAAGAGGTTTTTACTTCTTTCAGCACTGTTACCTGGAGACAGGATGTTTTCTGATGAGAAACCATCGGTGATTTCCAGAATTCTGTGGGGAGATCTGTGGGCCCAGGGCTCCTGGTCTTCCTGGACTGTGTAACACCAGCATTGTCAGAGAGGTGGATGGTGGGACCAAGAAGGGGTTAGATTGCTTATTAGGGAAAATTCCTTCCCTAAAACAGTTTTCAAGCCCTGGAACATGCTGCCCATGGAAGACCTGACCAAGGAGTTAAGCAATGCTCAGCTGGGTAATAAATATTTATGTCCTGCCCTGCTGTGGTTATGTCATTTGCTTTTTGTCTTTCTACTCTCTTAACTGAGGAGAGAAAAATAAATACTTATGGAGGACTTTGAAAACTTCTGCTTAATTAAGAGAGGAATCACAGAATTTCCACTCAGGAGGAACTGAAAGAGATGCATCTCCTTGCTGAGTATAGATAAAATAGAACTTAAAATCTCTGAATCACAGAATAATGAATAATTTAGGTTGGAAAAGATCTCTAAGGTCAGGGAGTCCTACCATTCCACCAGCACTGCCAAGGCCACCCTAACCCATGTCCCCAGGTGCCACATCCACACGTCTGTTAAATCCCTCCAGTAATGGGGACTCTGCTACAACACAGATTGTTGAGCAGCCTGTTCCAGGGCTCAACAATCCTTTTGGGAAATAATATTTTCCTAATTTTCAATTTAAGCAACTTGAGGCCTTTTCCTCCGATCCTGTCTCTTGTTCCCTGGGAGAAGACTGACCCTCTCCTGGCTCCCCCCTCCTGTCAGGAAGTTATACAGAGAAAGAAGGTGTCCTTCCCCCCCAGCCTCCTCCTTCCTGTTTTAGGGAAGAGCAGAGCTGTGTCTCTGAACTCACTAACCATTCAGACATGCCCAAACACTGAGCTCTGAGCTCTGTATCTAATATCCTGATATCTTAATCAGTCTTATTTCCTAACCCACTCAGGCATTTGCACACCTTGGGCCATGACAAAGCTCTAACCACATTCCCCTTGGCTTTTCCCTTTTCAGTTATATACAGTCATTTGTTCAATCTCCCATGGCTTGCATTTAGTTTGGGAAAATTAAGCTCCTTTTATCTCTCAATAAGTCATCTTCTGTAACACCTCTGTCAGTGGCCATTGTTACTCAGTGGAGCAATCTACCTGTGATGAAATCACTTCTTATTCTGGCTGTGTTATGCCAGTGATTTTCATTAAAGAATTTGATGTCCTTTAGAGCACTTGATTTATTGGTCAAATTTTTTTTTAATGCATTTCAATTATTCTCTTTATGCAGCACTCTGATATGGATTTGCTTTGGCTCCTGTCCCATTTGGCCTCAAAACACTCTCACAACACACATGAATCATAAGCACATTTGGCAATGAAAACAAGAACACCCCGGGTTGAACCTGGTGAACCCACCAGGAAGAAGCTGTGCATGATCATAAAATTATTTAAGATGTGAGAGGCCACTAAAACTCCCCTTT